CTGATTAGCAAGTCCTAGGCTCTGTGGTTTAATCCACAGCACCACCCGTGTCCCCTACACAGAGTAGACCCATATAAATTAATGGGTGTGACTGACATAGGTCCATTACTTTCAATGAGTTTACTTTGAGTAGGTAAAGGTAAAATGTAAAGGACCTCTGTACGGTCAAGTCCAGTCAAAGGCAACGATGCAGTTGTGGCACTCATCTCACTTTCAAACTGAGGGAGCCAGCGTTTGTCCACAGACAGGTTTTCCGGGCCATGTGGCCAGCATGACTAAACCGCTTCTGGTGCAATGGAACACCTTGATGGAAGCCAGAGCCCATGGAAATGCTGTTTACCTTTCCACCACAGTGGTACCTGTTTATCTACTTGCACTGGTGTGCGTTTGAACTGCTAGGTTGGCAGAAACTGGGACAGACCAACAGGAGCTCACCCAGTCGCGGAAATTTGAACTGCTGACCTTCTTATCGGCAAACCTAAGAGGCTCAGTGGTTTACACCACAGCACCACCTGTGTCCCTAGGAGACAGCTCAGTGCTCTCCATTTGTCAACATTCTCTCTGCAAGCAGGAGGGATGGATATTTTCCATATAAAAATTGATTTAATTAAATTCTTAAAATTTTAATTTTCACTTGCAGACCTCAAAAATGTGTCATAGGACCATTCTAGAAGGGATGATTAATACATCCCTTAAGGTTGAGGTGTTGGGTTTTGGTTGTAGCTGAACGTCTGCTGGGGGTCCATACTCCAAGATGGTGCCCACTGAGAAGAACTCCCTGGACCAGCCACAGTGAGGAGGTAGACTTATTGAGGGAGGGGAGCATGGATGGCATTTAGTGCAAGGGCCCTCAAAAACTTGGAGCCAACACTTAATAGCATTCAGAAGACTTGTTCGTACTTACGCTTGTCCCGTGCCTAGAAAGCACAGGGCTGGGTGGTTTTCTACTCCTGTGCTTTCTAGATACAGATCCCAGTGGTTTTCCATTTGTTCTGCTTCTTTCCCTAGAAAAATCTGCTCTTTAGAGCTGAATTGGAGTGAACGTTAATCCACAGAAAACCTGGCTGCCATTTGCTCTGATTCAGTGGTGAAGATCAGGTCCCCCTGCCCCAAGGGAAAGCAGTGGGACATGCAGAAGTCTGCATGATCCCTTAGATTGTTGTGCAGTGCTCCCAATCATGCAAATATTTGACACAACTGCTATATGGAGACTTATGAGTGCATAGTGCAAGCAGACTGTGAGCAACTGGATGGGGTACAGAACATTACATCAATAGCTTTACTTGTGGGTACTTTGGATCAGGATGGAGGGAAGGGACATGTGGAGTTGATGAAATGATCCCTATTCTGCTTCTCTTTTATTTCTGTAGCAGTACAGACCACGAGTCAACACGATGACCATCTATCTCAGCCCTTGCATGCAGTAATGAAAAGTTATTCATTTTTGGATTAGGATTAGAACATGCTTTATATGGGAACATGCACTCAGCACAAGAGCCCCACTTCACGCAAGCAAGAGCCTTGTGCGTCTTTGTTGCAAAGCACAGGCGAGAAGAGGTTGTTGATGATCGTTAGGAAAGGGTGAGTGGTGCAAGTCGCTACCTGAGCGCCTTGATTACTGTGTTTAGCCCCTCCATAATGAATAAGGACTTCCACTACCTTTGAAATGTGGCTCGGCTGATTAAGTGTCGTCTTGGCTGTTGTAAGAAAATGGTGATTTGCAAACAGAAGCAACACTTCTGTGCAAGGAGGCATAAGTGTGCTTGATTTTGCTTAGCGTTGCTATCTTCTGAGTAGGAGAGAGGGGAGATTACTTTAAGAGCTACCTTTGTGGAGCACAGTGCTGATTCCTCCACCGACCATTGGTGCCGGCGGCGTATAAAATGCAAGTGTGGAAATGGCGGCAAAGGAGAAAGTGTACTTGATATGAGGGGTGCCATTCTCATCCACAATCACCTCCCACAAGCTCTATGTGCAGGGTGAGATTAGGAAGGCCTCTTGGGCTCCTGAATCTCTGGTCCTGTCCTCTCACCATGCAAAGTATATATATTTCGTGAACTGAAAGATTCTGTGTTTTATTTGAATGTGGGCACCAGAGTTTGGATCCCAGTGCCAGGGAGATTCCACATTCAGATAAATGTAGGCAGAATCTCCCAAATCAGGTGCTACAGTCTAACCTGGAGTATGATGTGGGGTATGGGCCAAGCCCAAGCAACACACTTAGCCTCACCTGGCATAGATATTCCAAGGTGGGTTCTACTAATAGCTATTATTTATTCAGATAGTTATTATTTGTTATTAGGTGTATATGGGGTGTTAGAGGAGGGTTGGTCCTTATGGTGGGGGACACACATTATGCTCCTTCTGGGATGGTTTATCAACCTTTGGTCCCCACCCCACACTCAACTCTCACCTGGGGCTCCTAGAAGCTGTTAGCATGTGACATAACACTCTGGGAACTGGCTGGCTGAACCAGGTGAGGGTAGCCAATGGATCTCAAACCCTTGGTGAGTGTCAGGCTTCAGGGACTCAGCTTCCTCGCCCCCCCCTTTGGCAGTAGATAAGCAGAACAAAGCGAAAGGAGTCTCTTACCAGTTAGAAAATTTAATGAGCACAGCAAGAGAACAAAGAATCCATTTCGCATCTCACAACCTGATCTCGCAACCACTTTGCTTTCTGTACTGCCACCTTATCTGCTCCCCTTGACCTTGGGCTGAGCGGATGGATGCTTTCCAGTGAAAGAGAGTCTGTAAACTCTCTCTCTCTCCCGGTTCTTCTTCTCCTAGCTCTTCACCACCCAGTCCAACTTCTGTCTTCTGAACTATGTCCCTCTGCAAACCACTGTTCCAAATCTATACTGTCCCGCTGCTCTTGGGAAGATTCAGGATCCTGATCAGGAGTAGGGGGAGACTCCTGCCATTCCTCCTCAGTGCAGCCCTGCTTAGCACAATCCCTGTCAGTGAGTTAGGGGCTCCCCATGCATGTGAAGACAGTCTTTGGTTCAAAGATGAAAATGAGGCGGGAGAGGAGCTGGTCACAGCAGGAGGGGGAGACTCCCTAGATTCTTCAGCAGCCTGCCTCTTCTCTGTCTTTTGTTCCTGCCCCCCTCTACAGTCTCTGATTCTGGACTGCTGTCTGGCTCAGTTCCTTCCTGCCCACTAAACCATGTTGCATCTTCAGTTTCGAACACCTCCTCCTCCAAGTCTGTCCCCTTTTCTTCCTCTGACCACTGATGGTCATCCCACCATCAGTCCCCTGGCTCTGAGCCTTCTTCTCTGCGGGTTCCCCAGTTGCTGCCTCCCACCACTGTTCTGCTTCCAGCCAGTCCAGGACATTCAGCCTGAACCGGTCCCTACCTTGTCTTGACTCAGTTGGCCTTGGGTCCAGACTGAATCTCATTCTTCATCCACCCTGAATTCCGCCTTGCCACAGAGCAGGACAGGGATCACCAATGAAAAGTCAGCAATGCCAAGAGCAATTTGTTTTCAAAAAATGAGGCAACAAAAAATTATGCCTCTAAAACCACAGGAGAAGATGTTAGCAGTACTGAAACCAGTTGGCTTCTCCCATGGGCCACACAACAAATCCCATTATGCTACTTGCATGACTAATGCACATATCCCATTAGAAGTCATGTAGGAATAAATCCTTCTATATGCAGAAATACACTTGGCTGCACAGTTTTATGCTGTAGTTACCTCAGATATTGAGCTTGCAGTACTCAGCTTGTCTTTGACATTTATATTTTATGAGAAGAATTTCAATTATAAAAAGATAACTGACCCCAAAAAAAGAAAGTAAAAAAAGTGAATGAGAGTGAAAAAGTGAAAATAGTCGCATTTCCATACATTAGTACACAGATATGTACAATCTTATTACCCTAATACAAATATTGGGGACGCAGGTGGCGCTGTGGGTTAAACCACAGAGCCTAGGACTTGCCGATCAGAAGGTCGGCGGTTCGAATCCCTGCGATGAGGTGAGCTCCCGTTGCTCGGTCCCTGCTCCTGCCAACCTAGCAGTTCGAAAGCATGTCAAAGTGCAAGTAGATAAATAGGTACCGCTCCGGCAGGAAGGTAAACGGTGTTTCCATGCGCTGCTCTGGTTTGCCAGAAGTGGCTTAGTCATGCTGGTCACATGACCCGGAAGCTGTACGCCGGCTCCCTTGAACAATAAAGTGAGATGAGCACCACAACCCCAGAGTCGGTCACGACTGGACCTAATGGTCAGAGGTCCCTTTACCTTTAATACAAATATATTTAGCAATAGCCTAATATATTGTGCATGAACACATTCCAAATGTCATTATATTTATCAATTCGTCAATTGAAATTGCTCATTGCTTAATCACAAAGGCGCAGCAGGGTGCTCTGGTCTAAGGTGTGGGGAGGACCTGTGTCCCTCCAGATGTTGCTAGACTACAACTCCTATCATCCCTGATCTTTGGCCAAACTGGCTAGGGCTGATGGGAACTAGAATCTAACCATGTCAGCTTCCTCAATCCTGGCCTAAATGTTTGAAAATGTGCCGTGTCCTTTCTAAGACTAAAGACATTAAGGCCTGAATGCACTTTAAGGGAGAATAAATAATCCCCTTCTTTGCTTGTGAGGATCTTCTTACCAAGATTTAAGAATATATAGTGATGAGTTCCTGGGTTCTTAGGATCTAGAGAAGTTGATGGTTGTCTGACTGTTTGACCACCTGGGTCTGTTCAAGTGGAGGAAAGCTCATGGGAGAATAGGAGGCTGCCTTTTGACCAGCCAGAAAGTTAGTCCATCTAGTATTGTCTATGTGGTAAGAATTTACTTCTACACCACCTTGTTCTTGCCCAGCTGAGGGAATGCCTTTAAATAAAACACGGAGCCAAGAGAATAACAACCATCTCAACATTCTGTAGGAACCCAGTTTATCAGAGCTATTGCAATAGGACAGCCTTGCCAACCAGCTGCCCAGCTGCTAGTTAGGGCTATTGGGGAATTTACTTTTTTTATTTCTTTCAGATTTGCCATTCCTGGCCAAATTGGTCAAGCAGACATTGGTATATCTTCAGGCAGTTTGGGATGTGATAGATTACCTGGGTGTGTTTTAATCTGGTTTCAGGATAAGGTCCATGATCCAAGGTCCAAGACTGCCCTAGTTGGCAACTTGCCCTGAGAGATGCAGGATCATGACCTATTGGTTTTTGTGGGTCCCTCGGTTGCTTTTCAGCTTATTGACCATGATATCCTTCTGTACCATTTATAAAGATTGGGAAGACTTAGCCATGAAGATCTACAGTAGAGGCCCTTCTCTAGACACCTTGACATGAGTCCTGAGGAGATGCCTTTGAGGGGCTGGAAGGGTTAAGGATGAGGGATGGGAGGAGTTGGAAGGGTTACCCTTTGACATCCTCAGGGAGGGACCAAGCTGGTTGGGATAGGCTGCGTCAAGGGTCATGAGAAACAGAGGAGCAACCCAGGAAGGAGGTAACAGGTGGGGATTTGGATCCTGGGGAGAGTCCCAGCAGTATGTCCCATCTGCGCCCATGTGACCCAGGCACTCTGGGTTTCACCTCACCTCCAACTCCTGTGCCAGTTCACTCCCAGCACCGGCTCAGCCTTCAACGAGGTGTCCACCAATCAGTCTGGCTCAGAGCCTGTGCTGATACCTCCTTCATTGCCTGAGACATAGAGATGTGCATGCCGGTGTGAACAGATTACAGGCTCAGCCCACCTAAAGGAAATATGAATTGTACTGCTAGATGAAGAACACAGCCCTCCCTTCAGAGGTGAGAAAGGTTGTGAGTGACCTTCTCAGTGATGGAGTTGTGTTTATTGAATATGGTCTCCAGTCAAGTTAGGGAGGTACCAATAGTAGTACTTTTGGGACAAAACCCATTGAATTCAAATTCATAGGATTGTGGTGTTAGTCCCTCTATTAGGCATTGTGATATATCGGCTTGTGTTACACACTCTGTGTTTTAAACCCTTATAATCTTCCTGCAGAATCAGTTTCTCACACCTGCTTTTCATAATCTATTCTCCTTTTTCTGAAATACCTCAGGCTCAGCACCTTTCCCCAGGTAGATTATGTAAAATCAAAGCATAATCAGTTATCACTTTTAATTTCCTCCAGTAGCTGTGTCAAAACAGTGTGAAGACTTAAAAAACAATATTCAAGAGGCCCCAATAACCAAAGATGGCTTTCTCATAAGCTCACCCTTTTTTTGCAACAGGTAGCTAATAATAATTTTGCAAACCAATGGTGGCATCCAACTAACTGCTTCCATTAGGGCAAGGATTTCTGCCACCTCTCCTCAGACTTGTCCAGGGCCCTCTCCAAATCTGCTCTGGAGGGTTAGAACAAATTTCGGGCACATGCAGAGGAAGTGGGGGAGTTGTATTGCCCTAGTGAAAATCCTTTTGCTGATGGAATGAGTTAAAAGGAACTTAAAAGGACTGTCCACATATTACATTCAAATACAGTATAAACTTTTGTACACAACAATTGAGCTGTTCACCTGTAGCTTTCAACAAGTGTAGGGTCTGTGCACTTATATACACAACAGCTGAGCTATAAAAGTCAGCAAGTGTACACTTTTTCACACAAACACTTATACCTGTGCAGAGACAGCTTGGATCAGTGCAATGCACAAGCAAGCATAACATCCACTTTGAACAGCCATCTAAAGGAGTTGTCTTTAGCAGTCAAAATTCACTTATATGAGCTGTCTGGGCTCCTATCACATGCATCCCCTTTCCCATCGGTTTCATTTTCCTAGACAGGAGAACAACAATACTCTCTGCCAGCTGGCAAGAAGACCCCGACTTATCATAGAAATACAATTTGTCACCTGGGTGTCCCCAATCTCAGTTGTCTAATTGTTCTAAATAAAACTCTGGATGCAAAAGGTCAGAAATTGAATTGGGCATATACTCTGTACTTAAAATATATAAATCTTGCACTGAAGCAACTAGAGTTCTGTGCCAATGAAAGCTGAATATCTCAACTCCTAAATGTGCAGACAGAAAACTATAGATTTTATGTATGCTTACATATACAGAGAAAAGGAAGGAAGAGAAAAAAACTTGTTCTGAATGGTCCCAAAGGCACACGATGCCGTCACCATGCCAAAGTTAAGCAGGTCTGGGTCTGGTCAGTGCCTGCATGGGAGACCATCAAAGAATCCCATATATGCACTTTGAATTCAATGATGGAAGAAACGTAGGATATAAATGTACTGAAAGAAAATAGAGAACTGAACTTGGGAAAAGTTCCAAAGATATTACATATTTATTATCATAAGTTTGTAAGCCTACATTCCATAAACGAATGAAGCATAAGGAGTGATGTACAGTGGAGCCTTAGTTCTCAAACTTAATCTGTTCTGGGAGTACGTTTGACTCCCGAAACTGTTCAAAAACCAAGGTGCAGCTTCCGATTGGCTGCAGGAGCTTCCTGCACTCAGGCAGAAGCCACTTCGGACATTCGGTTTTGGAAAACATTCGCAAACCGGAACACTTACTTCCAGGTTTGCAGCATTCGGGAGCCAATTTGTTCGACAACTAAGCCGTTCAGGAACCAAGGTACCACTGTAGTCATTATCAGATGGATCTGTAGGATTCTAATGATTGCCTGCATTACATCAAGGCCTTTCCTCCCAAGTATAATTCTGCAGTGTTGCCCGATATGGTCAGTGATGTGGACTTAAAAACTCATGGATTTGTAGACAGTAACCATCCAGAAACTGATAGGATTTGTTACTCCTGGACATCTGTGGGGCATTTTTCATCATCATTAGTCATGACATCTTGAGTGCCAGGGGGTGCAGTCTTATAACACTTATTTAGGAGTAAGTCCTTGCTTCTGAATACAACAACATAAGATAGTACTGTTAGTAGGGATTAAGCCCCACGGAATATAGCAGGGCTTGTTTCTGAGTAAACACAGAGATGTTTAAGTGCTTAGTTTCTGGTTGGTACTAGAAGTTTATTCATTTATATGCAACAACATATCTAACCCACCTTTCATCATAAAGGATCGCAGGCTACAATGACATTCCATTTAAAATACAACAATTTCAAAAGGCAACAACTAAGAGAGCAAATGAAAGAAAGAAATGCTATCCAAAAACCTTTAAAATGTACCTGGACTGAGCAGCTAAAAACACACACCGAACAAACCATGTTTCTAGCTGATACCAAAACTAACAAAGAAAAGGAATTGCTGCCAGATGCAGTTAGGATGTCAACAGAGAGAAGGCCCTTGCTGGTGCTAAGACTCTTTTGTTCCTTGTGGGGAATGGCTCTATGGACTACTGCAAGGTGCTATCATGCCTCCGAATTTATTTCGTGTACCTTGATGGGAGAGACTGATGACACCAAGTTCTAGATTTAATTTTTTGTACATATCATCTGAGTGCATCGGTTGGTGACCTAACCAGTGATAAACTGAGTGAGTCTGAATAAGCTGAAATGCTAATAAATGTAACAGAGGAGATGTCTTGGAGAAATGTATAATGTACTGTATAATGCAGTAGGAATAAGGGTGGGAACAAAAACAGCACAGAAGTAAGGGTTGGAAGTCAAAATGCCAAAGCGAATTAATATCAAAGTTGAAGCTAATATATAATTTTTTTAAAAAAATTCAGTAAAAATCTAAATTGGAAGATCGTAAATAAATAAACAAACTGAAATTGAATTCAGACAGGACTTCAGACAGGAGACCTATGTAATCTGGCAGAGGTACATAAACCTTTCTGGGACAGGATCACAATTTCTTTGAAAAGTCAAGTGTACAATTTAGGAGTGGTACTTCATCTCCCTGTGGTCTTGGATGCTCAGACAGCAGTGATGGGTTAGGAGTGCTTTTTATCAATTGCTTTTGATATGTCTGCCGCCACCATCACCCCTGGACCTCTCTGTCAATTTCAGCACACCCCACAAGTTTTAAGAGTCATTTATGGCAGGGGACCCCAAACTTTTCCCCTCCTTGAACCATGTGAAAAATGCTAAGGGTCTTGGTGGACCACTTCATGTTTATGTATTTATTGCCTGTCGTAGCAATTGTAATTCCATATATTTCAAAGTGTAATAGAGACAAAACTGCAAGAGATTAAAGAAGCAATAAAAAAATACAATTAGAAACCAGTATGGATGCAACGGATGTCTCCCGTCTCCAACCACAAATCCACAGGCATGCCATGGACCACCTGAGTTAAGATCATGGACCACTCGAATCATTGGAATCCAAAACCCCGTGGTGGCTCTCACCCATTGACGCATTATCATTTAAAACGTTAACAAATGAAAGGAACATGGCCAACATATAGAGATTTACTAATAGAACAAGAAGGAAAGTTGAAACTGAAAGATTATGATGAGATAAAGGAACACTTTCAGAGCTGGTTGCACTACAGGCAATTAAATGAAATCTTTAAAGAAGATAATAAGAGAGGATTCACTTACACAGTTTCTAAATTCCAAAAGGATATCATAGATGATAATTCCAAATTATTAAAGAAGGCGTATAATATTCTGTTGGAATGGGAAACTAAAGATGAGGAAGTCAAATCAGTAATGATTAAGTGGGCACAGGATTTAGGTCACAACATACAATTGCATAAAGCTTTGGAAAGTGAATTTGAAATTTACAGATTGCATATTGTTGAAAGAGAATTACATGAAAATGATGTATAGGTGATATATTACTCCATTAAAACTGGCAAAAATGTATAAAACAGAACAAAAGAATTGTTTGAGATGTAAAGAAGGGGAAGGTACATTTTACCATATGTGGTGGGATTGCAAGATCATAAAAATTTTGGGGGAAATGATATACAATGAACTGAAAAAAATGTTTAAAATAACCTTTGTTAAAAAAGCCAGAAGTCTTTCTCTTGGGTATTTTAGGACAAGAATTCCTGAAAGAAAATTGGACATTATTTATGTATGCTACAACAGCAGGAAGAATTTTAATAGCACAGAATTGGAAGACTGGAGAAAGATCATCAAAAGAACAATGGCAAGAAAAGTTGGTGAACTATGCAGAGTTAGCAAAGTTAACAGATAAAATGTGTGAAAAGGACAATAGTGACTTCGGAAAAGAATGGGAATCTTTTACAACTTATTTGCGGAAACAAAAAAAAATGGACTCATTGGCAGGAGTTAAATAAACATTTACAGAGAACAAGAAATATAACAGGTGATAACATAGTATTATGTACAAACAGCAGAATGTAACATTTGATGTTATAAACCAGAAATGGAAGTTGGGGGAAGTCACAGGGAGGGAGGAAATTGGAAAATGAATGTTAAGTAATGATATTGGATATTTGTTATGAGAAAAAATAATTAAAAAATATCAAAAATATATATCATGGACCACTCACTAGTGATCCACATACCAAAGTTTGGGAGCCCCTGATCAATGGCTTTCCATTTTAATCAGTTGCTTGCTGGTACCTTGGTAGATGTGGGCTCAGTTTGACATCAGAAATGTGGTTAGGAAAACACAAACTTGAAATTGAAAACTTCTTTCTGCTCAGTGGCTCAGTACAGAGGAGGATTTAGGGGAACATAGCCAGTTTTCCCATACTCGGTGCTGAACTAAGAGGGTACCGCAAAATTGATGTACAATGGAAGGTGAGAGGTGGTGGCGCAAATTTTGGCATTGCACAGGGCACTGCTGAAATTCGAAAGGCCAAAGTCTGCCACTGCCCAGTAATTACTTAAAAGTGAAAGGAAACTACTGATTGCTCTCAGGAATGATATTACTCAGTTTCTTCAGCCACCCAAAATCTGCATTTCCATGGTTTTGGAACACTGCTTACAGAAGGCTACATGAAGGCAGGAGGGGGAATAACTTCCGTTGAGACAAGCTCGCCTTTTCTGTATCTAGCAGAAACAGGTCCTTAACAATACTTTACCACAAACAGAAATGCATAGTCACCACAATTGGTTGGGGCTGTATTCTGCAGCTGGTATATCTCCTGCCGTGTGTGAAACCCGTTGACAAGGTCCATTGATGGGAAAGTGTGAGGATTTTGACTCTGTTTTTGCTGAAATTGCTGGCTTGAATGCTACAGTGGCTGTTCTCTTCCCTGCTGGAACCCTGATAAGCAAGCAGAGAGAGGGGAAACATGGAGATATGAACTGTGTTTTCTTTGACGTGATCAGCGACTTCTGTGACTTTCCCCCCCATCCCTCTGCTAGAGCTTTGATAAGCAGCCTGCTTTTGCAGACAGCGGACAGATGCCAAAGAACATTGAGGCTGTTCAGCGGCTGTTTGTAAGTAGAATTTGCAGGGTGTCCATTTTCATCCCCCTTTATTTCTCCCCAAACTGCCTCTCTGTTCAGAGTTGCATTCTGAAGTTAAATGCTGGATTGGGTTTAAGCATGTGCCTGTTTTTGAAATACGGTATCCACCAGGAAACGACAGCTAGAATTTTGCTGGCACAGAAATGGAAACAGGAAGAGATGCCCACGAAAGAAGAATGGAGGATGAAACTGATGGAATACGCAGAAATGGACAGATTGACGGGGAGAATTAGGAACCAACGTGACCAGAGATTCTCCGAGGACTGGAAGAAATTTACAGAGTATATCAAAAATTTATGTGATGAGCAAATAACGTTCGTTGGCTTTCAAGAAGCTCTGTGAAATTACTGTTAGAAATATTGTTTAAAAAATATGATGTGATTAAGAGTATCTGAGTGCAATATAATATTGGGAAATGTGAGACGAGGATAAAAAAATAAACGGAAAATTATCAGACAAGCTGAGGGAAGTTCTGGAAAAAAGGGTTTAAGTTAAAAATGGATGTATAATTTTGTAAAAATGTTTTTTTTTATGGAAAATCTAATAAAAAATATTCATATATATATATATATATATATAAAGAAACGACAGCTCACCCCTCAATATTCAGGGGTGTTTGGCTCCGCCCCTGGCTCCTCGTGGCACCGCTCGCATGACATCACAGGGCATCGCTCACAAGACTTCAGGACATTGAGCACAGTCCCACACAGACCCCTTCAATCCTGTTAAGAAGATGGCGCCTCTGGTCTGATCAAGCAGGGTTCATATAAATTAGTCAATATTCAACACCCCTGAATATTGAGGGGCTCAGCCCTCTAAGAAAATACTTTGTGGGGTGAAGCTTCCTTGGCCCCTAGGGGTTGGTGCACTTGGATCAGACCAAAGGCCCATCTAGTTCAACTGTGGTGGTGCCTATGGAAAGCCCAGAGGTTTGAGTGTAACATTCTTCTTCCACTCACGTACCCAAATAGCTGGTGCATGGAGGGTAGTGTGTAACCAACATTAGTAGCCATTGATAGCTTTATCTTCTATTGGCTTGTTAAATTCTAAGTTGTTAAATGTCTAAGTTGGTGGTGATCATCACTACCACACCCTGCGGCAGTGAATGCCATCATTTAACTATATAATATGTGGAGAATTGCAGAGGGCCTTCTCAGTAGTGGCGCCGGCCCTGTGGAACACCCTCCCATCAGATGCCAAGGAAATAAACAACTCTCTGACTTTTAGAAGACATGTGAAGGCAACCCTGTTTAGGGAAGTTTTTAATGTTTGATGTTTTGTCGTGTTTTAAATATTCTGTTAGGAGCTGCCCAGAGTGGCTAGGGAAACCCTGCCAGATGGGCGGAGTATAAATAATAAATTATTATAATAAATTATTTTTGTTTCCTTTTGTTTGCCCTGAATATCCCACCACTCAGCTTCGTCGGAGAGAAACTTTTCTTTCTCCACTTTCTCCATGGCATGAATAACTGCATATATCAATCTTGTTGTGCTTATTGGCCCTTTTTCAAAAGCGAAAAGGCCAAAATAGCCTTTCCTTGTAGGAGAATTGTTGCAGCACCATGATCATTTGGGTTCTCCTTTTCTACACCCTTTCTGAGATGCATCCTGTTCGAGATGCAGCAACCAGAATTGTACACAGTATTCCAAGAGGGGTCACACCATAGATTTGTGCAAAGGAATTGTGATAGTCACAGCTTTATTTTCAGTTCTTTTCCTACTGATTCCTAACATGAAATTTCCCAACTGCTACACACTGAGTAAAGGGACGCGGGTGGCGCTGTGGGTTAAATCGCAGAGCCTAGGACTTGCCGATCAGAAGGTCGGCGGTTCGAATCCCCACGACAGGGTGAGCTCCCGTTGCTCGGCCCCTGCTCCTGCCAACCTAGCAGTTCAAAAGCACATCAAAGTGCAGGTAGATAAATAGGTACCACTCTGGCGGGAAGATAAAACGGCGTTTCCGTGCGCTGCTCTGGTTTCGCCAGAAGCGGCTTAGTCATGCTGGCCACATGACCCAGAAGCTGTATGCCGGCTCCCTGGGCCAATAAAGCGAGATGAGCGCCGCAACCTCAGAGTCGGTCATGACTGGACCTAATGGTCAGGGGTCCCTTTACCTTTACCTTTACCTTTACCTTTACCTTTACACACTGGGTATTCACCAGAAACCCAAGATCCCTCCCCTGATCAGTCATTGCCAGCTCTGAGCCCATGTGTGTATGGGAAGACATCTGAAGGCAGCTCTGCATCAGGAAGTTTTTAATGCTTGATGTTTTGTTGTGTTTTTATGTATACTGTGGGCCACCTGGGGTGGCTGGGGAGGCCCGGCCAGATGGGCAGGGTAAGATGATGCGTGAGAAGTTAGAATGTTTTGCCCCAGGAGGTACATGCATCTCCTTACACTAACTTTCTTTCATTGAACTGTGTTTGGCATTTTACCACCCATTTTCAGTAGATCTTTCCTGAGCTCTTTGTGATCCCTTTCTGTTTTTGCCACCCTGAATAATGATTTGGCATCCACAGCAAACGTGGCTACTTCCCTGCTCACCCCTAATTTAACCCACATTGAAACTGTTCAGCAGACATAACAAGTAATGGATGGAAATGTCCAAAGGATAATCTTTTAATGCAGAGATTCCTGGCTCTTCAGTGCATGTTTATTTATAGATGAATGCAAACCATTTTGGATTAAATTAAGGGATACAAAGCATAAATTTTGTTGGTTTCTCTGTGGCTCTTAATAGCGCCCAATTTTAGGAGGATCCAATGTTAGATTATGAGAAACATGCACAGAAAAAAGAAATGGAATCTGAATCAGTTTTAGAATTAGAAAGTGTATTTGATAGGCCTTCCTTGTGCTCCGAGCCTTGCCCTAAAACCAAATAATCAGAATCAGAATTCATTCCATAAACAGTTTACATTTGAATAAGAGGAAACCATTTGAAATTTGGATGTGTTGAAATTTCTTGAAGAATTGAAATATTTTGTAGACTATTTGGGGGAAAAACATAGTTAAAACATATGCAGGATTTGAAGTATAGCAGCTGATGAGAAGTGGTAATTTAATAATTTATAATTAATGTACATAATGGCCAAAAAATAAGTAATACAGGAACTTTATAAGGTAAGAAAAGAACGCCATGGAAGGGAGGATGGGAAGTCAACTGATGGTTGTTTAAAATAATTTGCAAAATTTGAAGAGCTAATAAAAAAGATGTGGTGGGTTTTTGTTTTTTTTAAGAAATTAAAAGTGCTGTATTATTTGTATTTTGTATTCTTCATGAGGCAGCCTTTCATAGAAATACTTGAAGCTACGTTGGCATAGGTGTTTCTATGGCGCTTGAAGGTATGCATGAGAAATAAGCAGTGGCATAGCAATGAACCTATATTGCCATCTGAGCAGAAGAGATCCATTGAAGAAGAGATGGAATTCAAGATCAAGATGAGGAAATATGGATGAAAATAAAGGCCTGCGATACCATTTGGTGGCGATCACAAATGAGAGAGGAGCCACGGTCTTCGTGTCCTGACTGAGGGCTTCCTAGATGGAAACAGGATTCTGGACTAGGTAGGCCTTTAATCTGCTCTGCTAGAGTTCTTCTCATGTCCTCAAGTTGGCTGTAATGTTGTCTCCACCAGCAAGCCCATGCTCAAAACAACAGGAGGCTTTAGAAGGCCATGAGAACCACTGATTGTTTTGGGATCTGTTCCTGGCTTCTAGCCTCCAAAGATAAAGAACACCTTTTGAAGTAAGGTGGCCTCCCTATAATTAGTTTTGTCTAAAGACTCTTGCCATCTATCTCCCAAGAGCGCATCTAGTTCTTTCCTCAAAACATTTATATTGTGAGGCTTCAGCAAAGCATCTGGCTGCAATGGAGTTTCACAGGTGCAATCACAACATTCACCACAATAATAAATTCCCTTTAAAAAAAAAGAAAAGGGGAAATATGTATCTCTCAAACCAATTCAGGTGACTAATGAAGACACTATCTTACGGCTTTAAAAGCTGCACACTGCTGCCTTTTTTTCAATCCTAGCTATTTCTTCACTGCTGGAAGGTAAAGAAATCTCTGATAAAATAATAATTAAATGCCGACAGTACTAAATTTCCACCCAGCATGAGCTGCCAGCAGTTACAAAACCAAAACATTAGGTCACTTTTTTGAAGGGGAAAAAAAAGGCTGATTAAGTACCTAGGTAGACTTTTTTGATTAGCTGTTCTTTCCAGAATATGTAGCAGTAATAAAAGGGCAGACTTGACAGCAGCAATTGGCTTTTTAAGGAGAAGGGTAAAATATTAATACCCTGGTGCAACTTTTGCTAACCTGTTGGCCATCAGCACAGAGCTATAATTCCCAGAGGAATTGATTATTAAACAACTCTAGGAAGTGTAGCTCTGCAAAGGGTATGCTGTGTCTTAATACCTCTCAGCACCCCTAACAAATGACAGTTACCAGGATTCTCCCAACCCAGTAATGTTTGAGAGTCAGTGTGGTGTAGTGGTTAAGAGCGGTAGTCTCATAATCTGGTGAACCGGGTTCGCGTCTCCGCTCCTCCACATGCAGCTGCTGGGTGACCTTGGGCCAGTCACACTTCTCTGAAGTCTCTCAGCCCCATTCACGTCACAGAGTGTTTGTTGTGGGGGAGGAAGGGAAAGGAGAATGTTAGCCGCTTTGAGACTCCTTTGGGTAGTGATAAAGCGGGATATCAAATCCAAACTCTTCTTCTTCTGACTGGCCACTGAAAGTGACACTCCAGGTTCTCAGGCAGATCTTTTCTATCACTTGCTATCTTCCAGCCCCACTGCACGACCCCTTTTTAAAATCTGGAGCTGACACAGATTGAATTTGGGCCGTCTTCATGCAAAGTGTTTGCTCCAGCACTGGATTAAGGATCGTCCTTTCAGAGGGCATTTCCTCTCACTCCTATATCTATAGCAAGAAAGGTCAGCTGAGCTGAAAATTGGTTAGGACCAGGTTCGCCAACTCTAGGGGGCAGAGGTGTATTCATCCCCCTCTATATGTGTTTGAAGGGAGCAGCCCAGCACAATGTCACAGAAGGCTACACCGGCCTGCACAGTGTCAGGGGACTTCCCTATAGGACTGGCTATTTTTTATGGCAGCCCCACTCCCGTGATGGCTTATAATAATAATAATAATAATTTATTATTTGTACCCTGCCCATCTGGCTGGATTTCCCCAGCCACTCTGGGCAGCTTCCATAGAAACCAAAAATACAGTAAAATATCACAGATTAAAAACTTCCCTGAACAGGGCTGCCTTAAGATGTCTTCTAAATGTCAGGTAGTTATTTATCGCTTTGACATCTGATGGGAGGGTGTTCCACAGGGCGGGCGCCACTACCGAGAAGGCCCTCTGCCTGGTTCCCTGTAGCTTTGCTTCTCGCAATGAGAGAACCGCCAGAAGGCCCTCGGCGCTGGACCTCAATGTCCAGGCAGAACGATGGGGGTGGAGACGCTCCTTCAGGTTTAACCATCTATGGCTTCTCATTTTATCCTGTTGTTTCCAGATAACCTGGTAGATGTACGCTCAGTTTGAGATCAGAAATGCAGTTTGTTGTTATTGTTTAGTCGTTTAGTCTTGTCCGACTCTTTGTGACCCCATGGACCAGAGCACGCCAGGCACTCCTGTCTTCCACTGCCTCCCACAGTTTGGTCAAACTCATGCTGGTAGCTTCTCTTTACAGCATTGGACTTTCCTTTCACTTCCAGGCATATCCGCAACTGAGCGTCCTTTCGGCTTCGGCCCAGCCACTTCATCAGCTCTGAATCTACTTGTACTTGTCCTCCGCTCTTCTTCAGTAGCATGTTGGACGCCTTCCGACCTGAGGGACTCAAAAACACCAATTTGAAATGGAAGGAGTTTGTCAGCTCAGTGGTGCAGTAGTTAAGAGTACTTAAAAATAAAAGGAAACTACTAATTGCTCCCAGGAATTATGTTATTCAATTTATACAGCCACCGAAAATCTGCATTTGCATGGCTTTTGGAACACTGCTTACAGCAGGGGTAGGCAAATTAAGGCCTGGGGGCCGGATCCTGCCCAATCGCCTTCGAAATCCGGCCCACGGATGGTCTGGGAATCAGCGTGTTTTTACATGAGTAGAATGTGCCCTTTTATTTAAAATGCATCTCTGGGTTATTTGTGGGGCCTGCCTGGTGTTTTTACATGTGTGCTTTTATTTAAAATGCATCTCTGGGTTATTTGTGGGGCATAGGAATTCATTCTTTTTTTTTATTTTCCAAAATATAGTCCGGCCCCCCACAAGGTCTGAGGGACAGTGGACCGGCCCCCTGCTGAAAAGGTTTGCTGACCCCTGGCTTACAGGAAGCTACAGGAACACAGGAGGCAGGGAGTAGCT